TAGGCCCCTTCGACCCCCACTCACAGACGCCAAGGCCGCCGTGCTTTTAAACGAAGGGTCAGCATTTCAGCCTGTGACCCTTGAAAACGTATGGGGCCCAAGGGAACTTCTGCAGTCCTTTTCAGTGGAACCCTCGGTCGAAGCTGATATCGATGGAGAGACCGAAACGGAGAATGAACCGGTCACTCCAGCAGATGGTCGACTCATAGCCACCGTACACTCGGTAAAAAACGACAATCCCCTGTTCGGAGCTTCTCCAGAGGAAACTGCTCGGGTCCCAACTGTCACATCAACGGTCTCCCTTCCAAGAGGGAGCATCGATATTCAGATTCCTGCTCATGTACCCAACAAATATCGACGCCTCCTTGCGGTGATAGAGGCTTACTCTGAGGCGGTCAGTATTCAAGAATATGATATAGGGTTGACGCACCTGATAAGGCACGTGATTGATACCGGGGACCACGCCCCCATACACTGTCGATTGTACCGATACTCATTAAAAGAACGGCAGCTAGCCCTGGAAAGGGTACTGGAGTTCGAGCGTCTAGGGTGGGTGGAACCCTCCCTGGTCCCTGGTCGTTCCCTGTGGTCCTCCGAGTCTTGCCGAAACGAAACGGGTCGGTCCTCATTTGCATTGACTATCGAAAATTAAACGTAATAACCACCAAGGATGTTTATCCGCTACCCTGTATCGACAACTTTCTGGATGCCATCGACTCTGCGTGATTTTTCTCGAAGTTTGATATCCGACACGGTTTTCACCATGTCGCTGTATGACCGGAAGACAGGCCAAAAACGACCTTTTGTCTTGTTCGAAGGCACGTTGCAGTGGATAGGATGTCCTATGGGAATATGCAACGCACCCGCGACGTTCCAGCGAACCATGAATATGGCGTTCGCAGAATTTGTTAACAAAACCCACCTGACCCAACCACTCATAATTTTTTGTGTGATTGTGTATATAGATGATATCTTGTTTTTTTCCAGAACATACGAGTACCATGTGGAGCATGTCGAGTGGGTCTTGCATGCATTGAAAGACGCGGGGTTCAAAGTAGCCTTGGAGAAAAGCGAGTTTTTCCTCTCAGAAATCTCCTTCTTGGGATATATCGTCACTGTGGATGGCTTGAAACTGGACACAAGGAAAGTGGCCGCAGTTCAAAAAGCACCGGTGCCTATCACACTCACTCAAGTTTGAGCCTTCCTCGGCCTGGCCTCATGTTATCGACGGTTTATCCAAGGGTTTGCTCGCGTTGCTAAGCCTTTGACCAATTTGTTGAAGAAGGAAGAACAGCTGATCTGGATACCGAAGTACAAGCCAGTTTTTCATACGCTAAAAAAGGCCCTGACTACTGCGTCGAATCCGTCGATCCTGGCCCGCCCCAACGAAACCGTCCGCGCTGCACACCGATTGGCAGTCGCAGGCGATATCGGCGGTGCTGACTCAACAGGGAGCAGACGGGAAGGAGCACGTTATCGAATACGCGTCGAAGACACTGAGCCAGGCACAAACAAATTACGAAGCTTGGAACGGTGAATGTTTGGCGGTGGTGTGGGGAATCCAGCATTTTCGACCGTATCTCCACGGCCAGAAGTTTGTTCTCGTGACGGATCATCAGTCGTTGCTGTCCTTACGGAACAGCACGTATGATACAGGAACCTTGGGAAGGTGGGCAGTGCGGCTACAAGATTATGATATCGACATCCGCCACCGCGCGACCAAACAGCATGGAAACGTAGACGAATTGACTCGCCTCCAGCCACCGAAGAAGTGCCCAACGATCGAACGACTCATTTCGTGGAAAGGAGCTTCGCCCCTGACGGAGCCTCGCTACGGAGAAGTACACGTCATTCACAAGGGAAGCATTGGGTCGCGAGATGGCGACCCCTCTAAGACTTGAAGCGACAACTACCCCTTCATCTTCCCCATAATCTTCGACTTACCCGTCTATCCCTCACCCCCCCCATAGTATATCCCTGCATTCGTGTTTTTTCTGCACCTTGCCTATGATACTGCACCGGGGGGACTCACACCCCGGAGGACCTAGTTTTATCCCATGGGTGCGATGCATCCAGTGTCGCGTGATCTGGTCCCACGGATATTCCGTTAGGTACCAGAAGGAGGAGTGGAACTGTCACAACTGTCGAATGGGCCAAGTACCCACAAAGAAACGATATACAGAGGCTAGGACAAAAAACAGATGTTTGCCAAGTGTCCAAAAAGCAGAGGTCTGGACGGATCTTCTCCTGTTGAAGAGATTCGAGGAAGACCCGCTGACGGAACTTACCAAGGCGGAACGTCGGCGAGTCACAGAGCGAGCTCATGATTATCGTTGGCAGGAATCAACCCTGCAAAAGTGAAAAGACAATGACCATAGTGGGTCTAGTTGGCTGACGGTTCCACATCCTCTCGCTAGGTTTGATTGGACTCGGGCTGCCCACGAAGAGAATGAGGTCCATTTCGTGGTCAAATACACAGAAAAAGCTATAGAGAAAAATGGATGGTATTGGTCGGGAATTCGGGAGGAGATCATATACATTGTCCAAAACTGCCTGGCCTGTGCGGCCGATAAGGCGCCGGTACAGATGCCACGAACGATGGTACCGACTAGAATAGAACGCCCCTTCCAACGAGTTAGCATTGATACGACGGACATCAACGTACCAAAAGGTCCCGTCGATCAGGGCGAGCTTAATGTCCTTCTAGTAGTCGTCGATCATTTCTCCAAGGGGATCGAAGCCTATCCTATGACAAGTCGGAACTTGCAAGAAGTGGCCTGGTATATTAATGGTTTTTTTGTGCATGCATTTGGACGTAGATGAGGTCCACATGGATAACGGGTCAGAATTCCAAGGAGAGGTTGAGCGACATCTTGTAAGGGTCGACGTCAAGATTTTGTACTCACCTGGGCACTGGGCCCAGGCCAACGGGCTCGTAGAGAACGCCAATCGAATGATTAAGATCGCCCTTAGACGGAACATTATTGCAAGAGATACCAGGCCATGGCTTGTCATAGTTGACTTCATCTTGGTCGTCTATCAGGCTACCCCACACGGCAGTACAGGGGTGTCCCTATTTCAGCTAAGAACCAATAGTATCCCCCGGATCCAGTTATCATCTCTAGTGGGTACGGAGGTTAGAGCGACCCGGGTTCAACACCGAGAAAAGGCCCAACACTACATGGATCTGATGACTAGGACCTACCTCGCGTTAGCCCGAAGGCGACAGAGGATTGAGGATCTGACACACCAGCAGCAGATCAGAGATTACGAGAACCGACATGCCTCCGCTAGTCCACTGCCCCGCTATAAGATCGGGGATCTACTGCAGCTACGGAAATCCGTGAGAAACGGTTAACGGGGGCCCAAATATTCGTCGTTTTCGTTGGCAATTGCGGTGCGAATTTCATCAAAATTTTTCAAAACAACCAATATGAGACCATAGTGCAAACATCAAAAAAGGAAACAGGCCAAAAAAAATGGAAAAAAAAAAAAAAAAACACTATGAAACCCTAACACAAAGACACTATCCGAGTCAAAATGAAGCGTCCAACGAATTCAAAAAAATGCCAACTTTTTTATTATTGATCCAAACATGTCAAAATTGCACACATGACGTACCCTAAAGCACATATATATAACACAAAAAGAAAAACAAGAAAAAAACCAAAAAATCAGCACAATATGACAGTTTCAGTGCAATTCGGTGCAAAATTCGTCGAAAATAACACCCCTGGTTAACCACGTGTGAAATTCGTGCGCTCCTACAAGATCCACCCTCGCTATATTGGCATTTACGAGGTGACAGAAGTTGGCGCGCAAGGCAAGCACTCAGTGAATCTAGTCCCCCGGCACAGCGCACAAGCCAGACCACTAACTCGCCACGCTGCTAACGACCATTTCGTCAAAATGGACATTTTTTATTTTCTCAATGAAATTGAAATCAAGTGTTTAGGCCGAAAACTCGTCAAAATTTTTGTTGTTCCTGTAAAAGTCTGGACCCCCTGGCTCTACATGGACCTAGCTTGAGACCAGCTACCTCCAGGGAGTCCCGCAAATTTTGACGAGTTTTCGATAAAAAAACTCGGTTTCAATTTCGTTCAAAAAATAAAAGATGTCCATTTTGATGAAATGGCAGTTTTAAATGGTTGCCCTTTGCTCATTTTAGCCATCGCTGGAACACGAGCGGGCTCAGGCCCCATCCCAGCTTTCTCCCTTTGCTTCTTCGTCCTCGCTTCTTCTTCTTCCTCTTTCCAATCCACTTCGGGACTCGATCGCGCAGGATGAGCCAGCAGCAGGAGGGGAATAAGCCAGTCGAGCATTTCCGAACGCCGATCGCGGATCACTTACTGCGGCACCCATTCAATGATGATCGGCAGTTGCGGAACGACGTCCAGTAGGCGAACGTGCCCAAGCCCAACATCGCCGATCTTGCCGCGTACTCGCTCTTGAGCGAACGAGTAACCCACGCGGGGGTGTACGTGGACGTTACGCAGTTGCCTGGTCGGGAAACCACCAGGGTGTGCATCGAGTTTTGCGCGCAGGTGTCCGCCAACTTCGTGCACAGCGTCGCCACTTTCATCGGCAACTTGACGCTTCTTGACGATCGACACAAAGAACCCGTATGAAACTTTTTGTGAAAGTACGCGGTGCAGGTAGCGAGATCGGTGGCGCGTGTGCAGGGAAGGGGCCATCGATTCACGCCGTATCACGCACTGTTGCGACCGACGTCGGACGAACCTCTGACACTTGTGCCTGAATTGCCCGTGCTTCACCCCCACTCTGATCCTTTAAACATCCAAGCCACCCCGCTCCCTCATACTAAAGGCCTCCCTTCTTTCCTTACACCACCCTCCTCCCCTATCAACTCACGGAGAGCCCCTACCCTATGCGCAACTTCCCCCAGTACCTAGTGGAGCTGGAGGACGTGGAGCCGCTGCCGCAAGCTGAGGAGGACGCGTGGGAATTGCACCGCACGCTGTATTGATTGGTGGTGCTGGGCATGTTCCGGTTTGCCGTGTCGTACGGCGATCACAACATCGTTGAGAACCTTTAGATGTACTACGTCATCTCGGGACCCAAGCCGGAGAAGGAGGGCACAGTGGCGTTATACCCATTCGGGGAAATCGAGACGAGCAGGCCGGGACTGTTGGAGCTCATTCGCATTGAGTTGCTGGCTATTGAGCAAATGATCGCCAGCGAAGAAGAGGATCTCCAACTTTGCCTACGAACAGCATCATCTCCACGACGTTCTTACCACGCGGCGGTGATTCTAGACTATATCGTGCGGAGGGAGGGGAAAGTGGTGAGCATCGCCGATCGGAAGTCGCTGCAGCCTCCCTCATCCTACCCCAAGCCAGTAGGCCCAAGGGGCCTCAGGAAGACACCCAAGAAGAGATGTCGCCAGCGATCGCCAAAAGCGCAAGGAAGTCGAGTGGGACCCGGGGAAGAGGTGCACCAGGCCGGGCAGTTGCAGAAGCCGGATCGGGTTCCAGAGAGCAAGGCGACACCGATCAAGGGACCTCCGTCGCGGGAAGGAACGGGAACAAGCAGATTCCGGATACGTGGGAGCCCTCCGGAACCGACACCTCAGCCGCAGCTCCTTCCTGACCTCCATCTCTATGGAGCCGGCCCGCCAGCACCAGCAGGAGGAGGAGGAATGGAAGGAGTACCATATCCCGCACCCAGACCCCCCATCCTCGCAGGACCTTTCCGCTTCCGCCAACCACCTAGGCGTGCCCCAATCATTGACCTTAGCAGTTCCTCGAAGCTAGACGGTCCATCCAACGGATGTCGTGTTCATGGTGTAGCCTGCAACCATCAGGCTCGAAACGATCGTGAGGCGCCTGCGTCCTGATCCTGCATGGGAGCCATATCTGGAGCCGCCATTTGAAGGATGCGTCGTGGCCAGACTAGCAGGAACACTCATCTACGAGGCCGGCCGGCGGCCGGATGTAATGTACCATTTCCTCGTCATCACGATGCTCAGGAGGGAGCGAAGGCCGTATACCGAGACCCATCTGGTGATGACATATCCCGGGAATCGCACCGTGCGGCGACGGGTTGTACGGGCTGTTGCGGATCTGGCGCCACGTGTCCTGGCACACGTACCGGGGGCTTTTCTCTATCGCTCCTTTGTCCAACAGCACTTCAACGAAGTGGAGGAGCCCACGACTCCGGCTGAACTGACAACCTTCCTTCCTCCTCTTCCTCCCCCTCTTAATCCCGAGATCGACCATTTCCTCCTCTTGCTCCCCCTCTTAATCCCGAGATCAACCATTTCCTCTTATCTCCTTCTTCTTTTTCAACCTGTCTTCCGCTTCTTTTCCGTTCTAATTACAAAGGTTGCGCGGCAGAACGCGCTATGTATTAAAAGGAGGGGAGATTCCTAGCGATGCGAGAGGCATCGAAGTAAACTAGGTGATGAACTCGGCCAGCTGACGATGAAGTGGCCGCCCGGATCATCAAGGTGACTAGGAATTTAGAGGGATGATACAACAGTCAAGAAACTCCTATTTTTTTTCGGAACCCCCTGCGCATCACAGATGTGATAAGCCAGGATCTGTACTCGGCGGTTTCCCGTACCCCTAAGGAAAAATCCCACATAGAACCCCGAAGTACAGATTCAAGATAATGGGGAAAAATGGTGCTTCATTTTCCTTTTTCTTTCCTTTAGAAAATGTAATTCGGGTCTTGCCTGGCCGGTTAGTGGCCGCGCCAAGAAATTCAAGAAACGGTTGGGACTTAGCGGGAGTAGGAATTTTGAAGTTTTGGGCATCTTACCTTCCTGCAGGGCGTCTTCCTCCTGCATGTCTCATCGTCTTCCCTCTAAGCGAAGTCTGATCCCCTCCTTCTCCTTTTCATGTGAATGATTGGCTGTCTGATTGGGATGGTCGGGGCAATGTGGTGGCCGCGGGAAGCGCACCCCACTTGGACGACAACCCCAATCACGCAGAACATTCGATTCGCCTTCTTCGACCCTTCTAGAACGTCTGCCCTTCTTCTGTCCTGACCATCTACACCCCGTGCTTCGTGCAGCCTCTCCGCTGCCTTCCTCGCTCGCTATAAAATCTTGCAATCCCTTCCTCTCACTCTCTTTGATCTCGGCTGCAAGCTGCGCAAGATATGCGTGAACCCCGCAGCGCCGGAAAGGCTTGACGTGCCCCGTGGTGGGCGGAGTGACGGCAGGTGGCGGAGTTAGAGGTAGACTTGTCGGAGGGGCTGAGCGGTGGTGGGGATCAGACGCCGACAGCGGCATGGCCTTGTGGCTCTGGTTGTCGGTGGGTTTGACGGATTGGGAACTGGGCCCGGAGCGGCCAGTTGAGAGAATTCTGTATTTTTTAGGACGAGTTTTTTCTCCATCGCTGCTTTGTCCCCATGCGATGTGTGCATGACTCCAAAGGTTGGGTGATCTGCTATGCATATCGGGTAGGAAAGCCCATCGATGTTCTATGTTTCATTGAAGGCTCTAGGGGTATGTGTGTGTATGCGCCTCCGGGCCTGATGAGCGGAAGTATCGAGTGTCGATTGTGTGCATAAGGGCATAAATGCGTCGGTCCTTCCCGTCTCCCTTCTTTTTTTATTAACTGCGCGAGTGTGTGTGTGATGCGCACCGACCTTCGTTCGTCGACACTCTTTCTCTCTCTCTCTCTCTCTCTCTCTCTCTCTCTCTCTCTCTCTCTCTCTCTCTCTCT